GGGGGGGGGGTTAGGCAAGCTTTCTTCAGGGCTGCAGAAGACCTTCACCGCCTGATTGCACACGGACTACTGAACTAGACTTTGGCCTACAGTTTGGCAGAACACAGTTTGCTCCCTATGCGGATTCCTATAGTTAAGCACCCCAAGGTGACTCACTTCGACGCGGTAAAATTATAGTAGGGTGGACTAGAGAATCACGACCAACTAATATGTTGAAATATATGCCTATAATTAAGCACCCCAAGGTGACTCACTTCGACGCGGTAAAAATTTTGGTAGGGTGCACTAGATAATCACGGCCAACTAATATGTTGAAATATACGGTATATTCTACAAAATAACTGAAAGCTAAAAAGTTATGGTTTTTAACATAATGACGACCACTTTGATTTGGCCCTCTACCGGGGTCAACGGAACTACAGCCGGCTCACCCCAGTACGCGGTTGCGTAATGCCGCGCATTTATACACGAACAGAGAAATCTTCACAATCCAACTCATACGGTGTACAAGACAATACCTTTCTTTTACACAGCGCATTCTACTCGTGGCTACCTCTCACATACGTCGCTCCAGTCATGATTCAATAGATTTGCCTGCACTGCTTTCTATACCCGCGCCATACACCCCGGGGACCGCCCATTAACTGTGTTCTATTTACGGCCACAATCGTGGTGAGGTAATCAAATTCCCACCGGGCGGCTAGTTGGGCTGGGCGCGGGAAACTGCTTAGACCGCTCGAACCCTGATAGGCATGATGATTTAATACATACAATGCTAGGCCAGGGTGACAAACCAATTTTCGGGTCCTTTTTAATGTAAACACATGCTTTAAGTCAAGATCTAAACTATAACATCATTGGACGTAAAACTGCGATGTCGCTGAAGGGATTTTTTTGTACCGTTCACTGGTTCTAGCACATTTCAAACGCTTTAAGCTTAAAATGGTAAAGAAAAATGTCCTAAGACATAAAAGTAAATGTTAACTTTGAAAGGAATTTCTTATCCAGAATATTTTGCCATTTGAAATTGCATTGGATGCCATTAAAGATGCATGATTGTAATTGGCTCTAAACCCGCCGTACGTGCTTCTGCGTGCTGTCTACGTGCAAAAACGTGGGCAAACGCAGGGCATCCGTGCGTGGTGAGTACCACCTCCGTACTGAATCCTACGGATTTGGGAGCACGCAGACACGCCGTAGAACTTTAAGTGCATGTAAAACTTTTTCAACGTGCGGTATACGGATTCACCACCCGTTCGTGCGAGTACGGGCGACACGCGTGCCCCGTACGTACCGTATACGTAAGAAGCACATGTGAGTACGACCTTCTTTCGGCAAGGTTGCAATCACACAGAGATCGTACGTTGTAAGCATGTACAACTCACTTACCACTTGCGCAACGTACGATGCACGCAACCGCTCACTGCCAGACGTGGCGTGCAGACCACACTTACACCTTACGAAACCGTGCGAGTGACCCGCGTCGATGCCACTCCTTCCCCACGTTTTCAGAAAAAAACGTAGCAGACGTAGCCTCCCAAAAAAACTGGATGCACGCATGGCGGATTGTGGCCGAGGCTTAATAACTGTACCTACCACAGTGACTTTCATCCTCATCGCTGTTGTCTCTACAGTCGTTGTTTCCGTCACACCGTTTCCAGGCGTCTATACAGGTCACACCATTGGCACACCGGTACTGGCCGACCCCACAATTCGAGTATACTGGGAATCAAAAAGGCCGTAATACAAAAAGTCAACATAGAAACATATAATTAAGCATACCCAATTTAGGATTGTTCACCTGACAGATTTGATATTAGAATGATGCAAAGGTGTTTGTTATTTTACCAGCACTGTCAATTTTGTGGTCTACTGCCTACAAAGATGTTACATACTGATCCACTTGTTACCTATTGTCTTATTCCAAAATTCTAATCTGCTGTTTTGGTATTTGTTCTGTTATTTTACTCTGTAACTGGTTATTATAAGCAGTTTCCTAAAATTTTGTATTTTTTTGTGTTGTGTAATAAAAAGAATTGCTTTATAGTTTAGATATTACGTAGAGGTGGGTCTAAAAAGAACATCCCTTTGTAGATCCAACCATCACCAAATAAACCGGTTTAAACGGGGTTAAATGGGTTAAGATATATGAAAATTATATAATTATTTAGCATTATTACACTATTAAAATTCACAATTAGTTCTGTTCCTGGTACCTTTATCTTCAGCTACATAGCTTGCGCGAAATCCCTTCCTGTTTTTTCCATGATCGGTGACAAGTCGAACTGTCATGGAGCTGCCGGTGGAGGTGACAGGTGGAGGAATAAGAATTTTCCTTCCAGTCAGCTTGGCTGTAAAGTAAGAAAGTTTACATCACTCAACCTGGACGGGAGGACATTGTTTACCGGATACATCTCTTACACTAATGTTACGCTGGTGTTACACAAACACAAACATGAACATGAAAATAATATAATTGTTCAAAATGCTATTTTGCCTACGGATGTCAATAGAATTTACAATGTAGCATGCAAACTGTCATGCTTTAAGTATTTCTAAGGTCTAGGAAAATGACAAGGAACCTTTGTACATCCACGCCCCATACTGGAAAAATACACAAATACCTGAAGTATAGGCCTTAAGGTAGGAGAAAAATTACTAGATTAATATATTACGTTTATATATCTATAAGATCCTTTCTCTCCCTTCAAAACATTTCCAAATAAGTTTAGAGTTCCTGCAGTTCGGAGTTCGTCGATGGCATATTACGCTTACCTAGTTGCCTAAAAAATACTGTTATTCACTTTATGCCCACAGTAGCAAAAGTTCACGGTCTGAGAAAACTTGACATGTTCACGGAACTAATCGTTCACATCGGTGACAGGTGCAGGAAAAATAAAAGTCCAGGAATTCTTTGTTAACTGTAAGTGTAACTGTAAGTTCACGGAACAGGATTTGTGGCAGTGAAAACAGTGAACATAACAGTACAGTGAAGAAATCAGGAATTACAGTATTTTCTCACCTATCTGGAAGGTAGAGTCAGTTGTGCTTCCGTCATAGACGTACACGAAATCGTAATTCTTCTCAACGTCAAATTCGTCGAAGGTCAACGTGATGACTTTGGGCGGAGTGACATTGATCTCGTATTTGCAGTCATGATCGTCAGGATAGTTGTCTGGGTAGTTTGTGCTATTGAAGGACCCGCTGTCACCAGTAAGGCTTTTGCAAACTATATAAAAAAATATTCATAAGTTCTGGTCATGACATATGACATATTTATCATTTTCAAGGCTTACGAATTCAAATTTTTAGCCTTTCGCATCGACGTTTAGATCATTTATCATACACATCATGAATACATTTTAAAGTGAAACATTATGTTGGCATGTGACGTGCAAAGATAATAAAAAAATTAACTCGTTTGTATATTTCAAAATTACACCCATACAAAGCATACTTTCGTATTCTGATATTTCAGCCCGAAATATATGTGCACATCCTGTAATTTGTATATATGGACCAGACTTCGTAATACTAGTAATTAAATCTGTGATCAAGACCATTTCTTTTTATTTCAACACAAATCATTAAATACTAACCAAGCTTTACCGCATTTTAACTGTAGCAGAAGATCGGAAACAACATCTAGAAACAGCATTAAACACTAACGAAATGAAGATACGCATAATTTGCCACGGCTACTTACGTGTTTGAGAGGACACGCCTTCAGATAGTAGGCAGGAACTGACCACACCAAGCCACACTAGTGTCCACATTATGTGAACTAGCTATTGGTAAAAGATAGAAAAACATGTTATACTTGTGAAACTTTTGGTAGTACAGGTAAACATTTGCTCTAATCCAAGACCTAATTCAACAAACATTGCAGGTAATTAAGAGTAACCAAGTTGATGTTGTCATTTGAATATTAATTTTGTGTAATTAGACTAAATGTATTATCAAAAACTGATTTGTCCTGCAACGCAACAAAGTAGTTTCATAAGAGCAGGGTATAATACAAAGCTTCTTTAGCAACTTTAGTAAATGGGTTACGTTTTATTGGTATATACGTAGTTGCCTAGAGTTTTCTTTTCCAATCACCTCGTGCTTTTATGAATTTCTTGTTGAAAATGTTCCAATTTGGTCAAACACAGCCATTTGGCCACACATTAGTGTGATATCGATCTTTCATATCTTAAATCTCTATGGGCACAATAATAGATGATTCCATGTCCCGATACCACGGTTTATGTTTCACACGCATAACTGATTCTTATCTAATCTACTAGCTGCTTTTATTCTTGACCTATTTATCTTCATTATGGCTAAAGAGGTAGTATTTACATTGGTGTGTTACTAATTAACCCCCTAGGAATTTACCGATACCATTGATTTTTGTAAGCACATTAGCTCAACACATTGCGAAGGAATGCCAACATTAACAGCCTTATTCCCATTTTTGACAGTTAAAAATACACTTAGCATTTATAGCTGCTTCATCCGAGGGGACGTTTGGCTACAAACGTGGCACTTAGAACCTAGGACATTGCGCCTCCTGCCTAGTGCGCGGATACAAAAAAGAACTCCTAACGTCCTTGTGTAGGTGATTTTTAGTACTTTTGCATTTTAGATTATTTGGGCAGGAAGATAGGTGACACTATAAAATGTTTCTCCAGCCTCTCGTACGAAGTCGATCACCTAGCGACGCAGGGGGAACCCAGTCCCCACATACCTGGGTGATCAAGCCTTTGTCACACATTTTTTATATATATATATTCCGAAACATGCTATCACAAGACGTGATGACGGCACACTCAAGTTTTCTTTAGCTTATATTAATGCCGCCACCAACACAGGGACAGTACAATACTCATTTACACCTGAGCGAAGTGAAGAAAGTCGTGTAAAGTGCCTTTCCCCAGGGCACAAGATCGGTGGCATGTCAGGACTCAACCCCGGGCCTCTGTCACACATTTACGATTATTGCCTCCAAAACAGTAAACCAAACCCTTCTCAACAATGGTTGTGCCCTAATACCACTAAGATGGCGTTATCGCTCTGCTCTTTCTGAGACATAAAGTTTACTTGAGCGCCGAGAGATCGCTATGGGAGCGCGCAAAGAGCTCTCTGAGAGCACAATGAGTGCCGTCACCTCGGCGACTGTTTTGAACCGACTCGTACCGTTTCCGTGAGAGCGCCGAGGACGGCACAACCCAAAAAGAAGGAAGAGAGTGCGCCGTGAAAGCGCACAACGGCATCAACAGTAATTTATGTTCCAAACATGATCATGATGACCTCTGCTCTCTCAGCGCTTCGGCCGATTTCAGGTCACAGAGAAAGACAGTGGTGAGAGCGCCGTAAAGTGGAATTGAGGAATTAGGAGGTGGCCGCAAGGTTGGCTTGGTCGACTAGACTTCACCAAAGTTTGCTAGAGTTCAGCGAGGTCGGCTACTTACCAAGTTGGGACTCGGGCTACTCACAACGATGGTAATACACCTCAACAAGTGTTAATGTACATGTAAGTAATGAATGATTAGTAGGCATCTGTGGTCACCGACAGACCAGAAGGTCCACAGGTGGCCGAGCGAACAAGTCATCTTCGTTTAACTAAGTACAAGGTCACATATACATGTACATAGCGTAGAATCGCTGGCATTGTCAAGGGAGAACAATCATATTGGTCGGCCACCTAGCTATAGGGCGGCTGCGCAAGTTGCGCCCTGGATTTTAGCTGGGCAGTCATACAAAACAAAACAAATTAAAACAAAGCGAAGGTGGAAATGAAGTGTCACTTTCAAAGCAAAATGCATACATGTCTCAATGTATTCCGAAGCCTATTTATATTTATATGTAGATAAGATAAGAAACACAGTTCTAAAATTGTACTAAATCCAGCCCAACCTGTATTATTTAGCCTCAATATTATTTTAACGGGGTTTCACATGTATAAGCGTCTGTCTGTTTTATGATAATTAATAAAAGCACACAGGAAAACCTAAGCTTGTCGACCTTCGTTTTATGGAAGACTTATACTGACGGTTGGGTTGGCAATAGAGAGAAGAAGTCGATAAACAAAAAAAAAACAAAAAAACGCTATTTGTCACCTTAAATTCACACTTCGATTATGACCGTAAGATCTTCTTACGCGTAGAAGTGGTGGTCGGGCTTTAAGTTTGAGTAAACTGACAAATACAGCTCAGCACTCTGCTAATTAGGAAATAAATAAATAAAGTGGAATAAAATCCACGCGACTCAGAAATTTTACTGCTTACTGAAAGTACTTAATTAACCTCATTAACACGAGGTTATGCTGCCGTTGCTTGCTTCTTTGCTTTTTTTACACACTCGCTCGAAACAATGGCACTTATATCTTTAATGTGTCTCCCTTTTCCAAATAGGCGTAGAGAAAGTTACATTGATTTTAAGCCATGTCTTAGTTATAATACTGTTGAAATATCGCCCGTGCAATAGCAGCTTTTTATATCGCTGGCTTAATTCAGGGTTCACATCCAATGAATACACATGAAACATACAACATAGAATCTAGATGACACAATATGCTTATGCAATTCATCTATAAAAAAGAGACCCTGTATCTACGGTGCCTCACGGAGCTGCTACATGTACAAGTTTAACTCTGGTCTAAAAATTTGCATTTGTAGCTAGAGCACAAAATATCTACACGTACTTTGTAATGGAAGTAAAATTCAAAGTTTACAAACATAGGAAAGAGAAACAATGAAGTGGTACTATACCCTGGGTCGGTCTGACAAGTCTCGGTCAAACCCCTGCCGGGTCTTCTTTCTGTTGATCCCCAATCCGAAGCGACAAAACACACACGAAACAGCAAACACTGTTCCTGTCTTAAGTCATCAGGCAGCTGAACTGGTGCTAAACAAAGAATTGAATCATTTGAACGAATATCCGACTGTACCAATACGCATTTTCAAGGGGTGAATACGATGCGATGTATTGTTTACGAATAGAATATAGCTTAATTGAAACAATATAGCTAGCAAATGTAAATATGTATTCCCAGAAAAGGTTATAATGTCTTTAAAATGTAAGTTAGAATGGTTTTTGACAGTAGACACCCTGGTTAAGTAAAAGCCTCCCCCCTGTAGGGCTCGTAGTTGCCTTGCCCCAACTTGCATACGGGATGCCTTTCTTGCACTTAGAAGAAATGACTTGGTTTTCTTCTCCCCAAAATTAGATTTAGTTTGATGAGAAGATACAGGCTATGCAATTAAACTCATTGGCAATTTCTTGTAAAAGCAACATTATATGGCTTAAGTTTTATTGAGAATAGAAATAGCTTTTGTGAGAGGAATTTTCC